CCTTTTATCTTGGAAAAAATCCTTGCCTACAGCAGAACAATTCGAGTCGCATCACTATTAGTGATTTGTAGGCAGATTTCGAAGCGGTCCTGCAGTGAGCGTACGCCTAGGGCTTTAAACCTTTTTTTGGCGCTAATGGCCTTAGGAGGGCATTCAAAAATTGTTGGCAGGTGACACTGGGACTGAGCCCAGGAGGCAGGAGAAACGCCAGGGAAACAAAGGTTGTTCACGTCCTCCCACGGAATCATTTCTCCTCCCTAAGGATTATTATGTCCTCTTAATTTCCACTTCCGTTGATTGTGACCTGGTATAGGGACCCAGGACGCTTAATTTGGCCGCTTCCAGAGGGCAAGACTTGTCACGGACTCGAATTGCTATGTGGTACTCGGAGCGAAAGGGGAGGTAACCTCACCCATGTTAAATGACTCACAAATCCGCTTACCTCTCAAACCAAGCTGTCGTTTTCATTTCAAAACCACAAAACCAATAACGTTTAATAAGACTCTACTGGAAGGACAATTGGTGGGAAGAACCTCAAAGCTCAAGTAGCATCACCGAAGACTGAAGGTGCGCAACCGCTTGGAACAAAAAGTGCTCTATGCCTTTGCGGAGCTAAAGAGTGGCTCCAGTATCTGTTACTCCCGCATGCCAAGGCATGTCACATCAAATTGCTTAGGCGATTTCGAACGGAGTTTGAGTGCATTGCGCATCACAAGGTCTTCGTTCAAGTGTTCTATTGTTTCCTTTTGAGAATAGCAGTGATGATTTTGTACTTTTGCGACTTTAAAGGACGAAAAAAGGAAGCCAATGCTCTCTGACCGCTGCAACCGCTACCATTCTTATCAATCGCAGCACACATGGTGTCTGCGCTCTCTCGCGTACGACGTACTCTTGTTACGTTTTCCATTTCCTCGCGTCTACAAATGCTTGGTAGCTTTTTTGTGGTAAGAATCAAAGCTTGCTGCTTTCCAATGTGGGTGTTTTTTCGAAGAATTTTGTGTAGCGAATCCTCTGTAGCCATCGAAATGAACTTCCTATTGATCTTGCCCCCTTGGGGCGTGGCTCTGAAACTTCACTATCACAATGCGTCCTGTATACTGTTGAGGAGTAATTGGCCTTCGAGTTGACAAATGTGGCACTGAAACAAGAACATCTTACAGCTGACGTCCTTTTTATGTAGGCCATCACAGGGCGTGCTACCTCGTTGTGGGGTTTAGAACATAGGGTAGTCACAAATCACGGGAACAAGATGAACTGTTCACGGGTAATCCACGCGGCATGTAAAAGACAATCAGCAAAGAAACATATTTACGAAAGGTTTGCACAAACAAAAAAAATAATGTTACTTTGTAAACTGGCTGACCATGGCATAGACAGAGAGAGCGAAGTAGTCTTGGACAATCCTTCCACCCTTCGCGGCGTGTTAGCGGTGGTGGACGACGAATTCATCGTGGGCAGGCATTGAGGGATTGGCCCTTTATGGTCCTACATTTTGAGAGGTTTCTTCTGAGGCTCTAAATTCTGCACACGGAGTTTTTCGGCTTGAAAAAGGCATGCCCGCCGTTAGCGTATTTGTGCCACGCGCGGGACATAAACTGATATGAGTATTCTTGAAAGTATCTTGCTTGTTTGTGCTGATACAGCACATTCACTGACAAAATTGAATTGTTTACAGGTTGTCGATCTGATCAGTGGCCGTGTAGTGGGCCCATACCAGAAAGGAGTGATTTATGTGAAAGGAGTAAGCGTTTTGGTCACCGTACCTAAACAATGAGGAAGCGACGAGAGAACAAATCAGAGGTGGCTGGAGGAAAACCGGTTAGTCTTGCTTCAAATTTCTTCCGAAAGCTAGAAAAGCAGCCACATCTGAGAGCTTTCGAAAGCTAGAAAAGCAGCCATATTCAAGAGATGCAAGCAAGACCTCAATGCAATGTTTACTTGTTTCTGCTTCATTGAATCTTCTGCAAAGAGAGTGAACCTGACTAGGATCCATAAACATGATTTCTCACCCAGGAGATATTGGATACTATGACGACGACGAGAATATCTACCTTGTGGACAAATTCAAGGAAATGATAAAAGTACACGGTTATCAGGTCAGGCATTTTTTACACGGTTGTTTGTGTCTTCGAACAGTACAGGGGTGTTCCATAAATATTGCAACACGTTTCTTAACTTGTAACTTTTCTCAAAATGGACGTATCTCGAGTGGCTCACCGCCTAATAACTTAGTCGGTCAATAAGATCTTGAAAGGAAATGACATTTATTCAATAAGTTCCCCTGTCGCTGTGAGTATGGCTCTCAGTTGCTCTAGTGTGGCTCGCATGGCATCCTGAGGCGTCTTCCGAAACTCGTAGAAAATGGCTTAAACTCCTCCATTTTG